GGAGTGTGAGGTCCAGGTGCTGCACGTACCAGTCACCCAAATTAGCATGTCTCCCTACCTCCTGACACCTGCTGTTGTCATCTGTGCTCTGTGTTGAAAACCATTTACTTCATTGGTTTGTGGGGTTAAAATGATGAGGATGAAAAGAGCTGATTATGCAAAGCACTTGGAATCTTCTTGGGACATAGTAAATGGCATCAGGTGTCATGGCCTTTGGGCGTTGTCCTAGTCAAATACCATAGACTGGGTGATTTAGGCAATAGCAATTTATTTCTCTCAATTCTGGAGGCTGGGAAGTAAGAGCAAGGCTCCAGTCAGTTAAGTTCCTGGCGAAGACTCTTTCTGGATTGTAGATGGCCACCTTCTCGCTGTGCGCTCACACGGTGAAGAGAGAAAGGGCTCTGGTCTTTTCCTCTGCTTCTATGAGCACAGCTCTGTCAAAGTAGGGTCTCTCCCTCATGACCTCATTTGAACTTGCTTCCCAGAGACCCCACCTCCAAATATCTTCATACTGAGGGCCAGGGCTTCAAGATACGAATTTGGGGGCAAGGCAACACAAGTATGCAGTCCAAAGCAGGCCAATTGCATTTGCCCCTGGTTAGGGCTTATATTCCCCAGAGGGATAACCTCTTCGGTCTGCAGCAGGATTGATCTTCTCTGATTAGCACATTCAAGATAATCAATTGCTAGACACTTTCTTTTGATGAGAGCACTTTCTCAGGCTCCGTCACCAGGCCTCTGCTTTGATATGTCCCTCTTTCTCCTTTCCGTGGTTCCTGTCTTGGTGGTTTATGCTTGGAATCTCTCTGGTCTTGGCCCCTCTCTAAGAACAATGTGCTCAGCTTGTCACTTGATTTCACTTCTCCTGAGATACTGCCTCTCGAGTGGACCCTTTAGCTCTGTGCTCTGCAGCATGGATAACTTGTGAGCTTCATGGTGGATACACCACTGGCTTGGTTGGGGGGACTCTGACAGCCATAGAGCTGGGACCTGAAGTGAGTAGGACATTGGATGGGGTCAGTGGTAATTGGCAGGTAGGGAGATAGGAAAAGATGTGGGCTTAGTTTTAGGTCTGTGTTATAGAGAAATAAAGGCCGCATAAAAGAAGACATAAGGAAATATGATAATAAAAATAAGGAGATATTAAATAATGCAACTTTTTATAATTTCTCTCCTCCAAACTGAGTTTAGGTGTACTCAGAGATTCACATCCAGGCCCCTTCTAGCAGGTAGGCAATGCATATTGCCTTTTTACAGATGAGCACTCAAGATTGGGCAAAGTAGGAGCCACTCTTCCTCCTGGGACTCAGGCCTTTAATTCCTGGAGCTCAGCAAGGAGGGAGCCATGCATATGTACAGTGTAAGGGCAGGTGCCCCCTCTGTGCCTGCCTGGTCTGTCTCTTGCAATGTAGCCTCTAATAGCTCATGTTCTCTCCCAGGCCTGCCTTCCTTTCACTTAGCTGGTGCCCAGAACCTGACTGCTCCACTCGACTCACAGCCCTAGGAATCCACGGATCCAGAGTATGCTGAGAAATGACTGGAATTTGCATGGCATTTGTTCTGGTACTCCTCAGTCAGCTGCAGCTGATAACCAGAGACCCCAGCCTACTTCATGGAGATGCGGTGAACAAAAAAGGTCCTAGAGAACGCCGTTCACACCCATGTGCTCACACACATGCTCCCAGTATTGTAAGTGAATCGAGTTGTGTTCCTTATCTCTGCGATGGTTTTGCAGTTGCATACTCCCTGCCCCCCCTCTGCCTGTCTATTCATGGATAAACCAGGGAAGAAGACACAGTTCACTACTTAATGGACTGCAATTGTACTTCCAGATCCAAGGGAAGTGTGCCCTTGTATTTCTGTGCTTGCAGACAGAGTACTGTCTCCCGCCACCCGTTGTCTTATTCACTGTGGAGATGACCACACACACACACACACACACACACACACACACACACCCCGCTGGTTTCTTTGTGGTGACACGCATGTCAGTTTATTAAATGTGAAATGGAGGGAGGGATAGGGAACATTTTATTCTTAACGCATGAATGGTGGAAGCTCATTTTATATCCCCCTGAATCCTGATTATAGGATTCTTGGTGGAGACAAAACAATGGTTTCCAAATTAAGGACTCAGCAGTAATTGCCCTCAGAAGAAAAATTTGAGGCTTCAGAAGATGAAGAAGCAGGAGGAGGAGGTGGAGGAGAAGGAGGAAAAAGAGGGAAAACAGAGAGGTGGGAAAAGAAAGAGGGTCAGGAGAACATGGACTGAAGCATTCAGGTAGCTGGAGACGGGCTGGAAGAAGTCGGAGACTTCTCGAAAATGGCAGGCCCCTGGCGAGAGCCGGAGTTGCCACACTCGCGAGCTGTCCCAGGTGCTGGAGGAGTGAGAGGGGAGCTGTGATCCGTGGGCTCCTCATGCCAGGGGAACACGGTGTGCATTCCACATGATGGCCTGATGGAGGGGGGCTGGCCACTGAGGCCACAGCACTCAGGGCCTGCAACTCAGGACCACCCCCACCCCCCATCCCCCACCCCCAGCTCCTGCTGCCTGTTCATCCCACAGTGACAGGGGCGAGCACGTCTGGCTCTCGGCTGTAGCGAAGATGGAGACAACCTCATTCTTGCTGGTGGTCCCAGGGCTGTGCTGGAAAGTTCACTTGAAAGAAACATGATCTGAGAGGAAAAAAGCACCAACGAAGGAAAGAAACCCTCCTTCTCTCCACTGATCACTTCCTTAGATCATCTGTGCACTTGCCACAGGGATTTTTCCCTGCAGGTTTGAGGGCGAAAGGGGAAATGGATGGGATCCTACCTGGACTACAGCTACTGGAGCAGAAGAACCCCCCCCACCTCTACGCCTCCCCAACCCTCCCCATCCATCCTCCACAGTAAGACACTCCCTCCTTCTCTATCTCTCTCTCTCTCCATCTCTGTCTTTACCTCTTTCTGTCTCTCCTTGCCTCTGTTTCTTCTCTTTCTCAGTTTCTCACTTTTCTCTCTCTCTCTCTCTCTCTCTCTCTCTCTCTCTCTCTCTTTGTCTCTGTCTCTCTCCCCTTCTTATATAAATGACGCCACTATAATTCAAGAGACAGGAGACCCCCCCTCCCCAGACTGCTGGCTAGCTGGCTGGCTGTTCAGATGTTGCTCTCCTCTATCCTCCATGCTGTGCCGAGCACTAATTGAAACCCCTGAAGAGCTGAGCTGGCCTTATAATGCAACGTCTATTTGAGGAGATGCATCATCTTTTAGCATTTTGAATAGGTTGATCTGTGTCAATACATGAAGAGAACAGTCACTCTTGTCCTTTCAGAAGGAAAATGTGGTTATAGTTCACTGGCAAGCTGCCCTACTGGCAGCTTGGACATCAGTGTGACTCAGTGATTCATGCAAGTCATGCCAATCACAGTGCTGGGGACAGGCACAGCCATACTCCATTTCCAGGTTCAGGCACACCAATCCTTAAACCACAGAAACAGACAAGATGGCCCCAGGGCAGAAGGAGAAGGATCAAAAAAAGGCTATCCCCCAGGTCTCTGACTCTCTCTCAGTGATGATGATGGGACAATGAATCATCCAATGATGATGGGAGGGCTCTGGTGGGATGAGAGTCCAGCCCAGAGAAGTGGCAAGACCCTTCACCCTTCAGGAATCTACCTGGGTACTGCTAGCTGGCCAGTTCATTTCCCAACGGGGAGGAAATGCTTCTGGGTAAGAGTGTGGGCCAACTCCAGGACCCTTCCCCGGGGTAGATTCTACTGGTCTCATCATTTAGGAAAACATGTTTTCTAAAAAGGGCAAACAGCAAGATTCCTACTCCAACTATCACTCTTCTTGCCATCAGGGATGGTCATTAGGCAGAGAGAACTTGGGGACAGGATCCCTGCAGGTGTGAGTTGGTTTCCCTAGGAGTTATAAGTGTAGCATGGAGCTGTTGTAGCTCAGCAATGAGGACCCACTAGAAATCACCCCTATTTCCAAGCTAGAGACCTGACACCCCAGCTTCCAGCACTACCTGGGCTGACCACACTCTCCTGGTTGTCACCCACTGAAGCTGGAGCTTAAGAAAAGGGGAGACTGGAGGGAAGGGGTGACTATATGCAGCTACTCTGAGTATAACCACAATGCCTCCATGCCTTTTCATCCTGTTGGATACTGGGCAATAAAAGGGAGCCAGGGCATCTAAACATGCTCACAAAATGCTTCCATGTAAACCCATCAGTGGGAAACCCTTCTGACCTATGTGTTCTTTACCAGGACAAAAGCTGAGATTGCAAAGTGCCTTCAGCTTTGTGTCCTTGGCTTGATCAGATCCCCTCTGAATTGAGGCACCATTAGTGAGAGTAGGGAGGAGAGAGAAAAGGTCCTTGGGGAAAGCTACACCTTAGGAGAGAGTAGGCCCCTGGTTTACCAAGAGTCTGGACCCCTGGGACCAAGGGAGGTGAGGGACAGGTAGGAGGGCCCAAACCACCAAGGGCTCCAGTGGTGGCTAGGATGTTACCCTGAGAAGCTTGCCTTAGGGAGTTCTGCTCACAAAGCCAGCAACACCAGGCCTAGTTTGAGGGTGGCACACTTCAACCTACCCTCACTCAGACAATGCCTCCTCATGTAGGAAACACCTCATGCTTCACTCCAGGTTGACATGACAATGTAACAGACACCTAGCCTAATCTTCAGGGGAAGAGGGAGAAGTAGACAGACTTCTGGTCTCAGAACTTTTACATTGTATGAGTTAGGGATCCCAGAGAAGTAGAGTCAATAGGATATCCATATATCGTTATATCTATCTATATAGAGAGAGTAGTTTTAAGGAAATGGCTTACACGACTGGGGGCTGGCAAGTCCAAAATTTGCAAAGCAGGCTTGTAGGCTAGAAAATCTGGCAAGAGGTGATACTGCAGTCTTGAATCTGAGAGCAGTGCAGAAGCAGAATTCCCTCTGTAGGGACCTAGGTCTTTTCTCGTAAAGCTTTCAACTGATTGGATGAGGCCCACCTACAATACAAAGGGTAATCAGCTTTACCCCACGTGTACTGATTTAATTACATCTAATAAATACCATCATAGCAATATCTGGACTGGTATTTGACCAAACATTCGGGTACTGTGGACTAGCCTCATCCACACATAGAATCCATCATCACACATACCTTAGGTATACAACTATTCATACATTTCAATATGTTATTGGTCCTAGGGGTTTCTGTGGAATCCTAAATCTTTTTGGAGAAAAAAAATATAGCAATCAAAATAACAAGAGTGGAAGTCACAAGGTAAACTTGATGAACGGTTTCAGTAGCAGATGCTATGGGCAAAGATTTGCAAGAGCCCTTGTAGGAGAGGACAACCCTGCACCTCCCAACACACACAAGAGAAAAAGGTCTTATTCCATCTTCTTTAACGTCAGCAGGCAAGGGATGGGCTGCCCTTCACCTGCCTAAGATAACACCTGCTCATTTTTTTCTTATCCATGACATTTGAGGAGGATTAAAAAACCAGAAATGCCCTACTCAACAACACAGCTTTGCTTTCAATTTCGCCAGTTATGTCAATGGCTTTGATAAACCAGTTAGACATCATGCATATGTTTGGGGCTTAAACTTTTCAGAATGTTAAAAAAATCTCACAGCCAGGCACCTGGGTGGCTCAATCGGTAAAGTGTCCGACTCTTGATTCTAGCTCAGGTCATGAGATCAAGCCCCTTGTTGGGCTCTGTGCTGAGTGTAGAGTCTGGTTGGGATTCTCACTCACACTCTCTTTCTCTCTCTCTCAAATAAATAAGTAAAAAGAAATTTTTAAAAATCTTACAGCAATAATGGATGGTTTATACATTCAATTCAATCCAACAAACACTGAACAGTTAATATGTCAGATGTTATGCTGAGTCATGTGAGGGATACAAAAGTGAATCAAAATCTCTGCCACTAGGTCACGGACTCCTCCCGCACACTCACAAATTGGTCCTGAGAGTACAGGTGACCTTAGAATGTGTCAGGTCATGCCACTCCCCTCACCACTCCTCAACACCTTTGAACAGTTTCCAATGCTATTCACTAAAAGCCAAAGTCCTTACAGAGGCTTCCTGGGTCTATCTGACCCCCTTGACCCACTTTGCTAGCACTAGCTCGAGTCCACTCCACTCCAGCCACAGTGGCCCCCCTCTGTCCATCACGTAGGCTGGGACACTCCACACCACTGTCGTGGCACTTCCCATGGTCTTTACTGGACTCGTTCGTTCCACAGGAATGAGTTGATCAAGTCCATCCAGGAACTGATGAGCCCCATGCTTTCCCCAGATTCTTCTCGAAGTATTTCTATCACATCTTCTTTAGGAAGATGGCTAAGAAACCCAAGCAGTTTCCTCCTCCTCAATGCAAAAGTTCCTTCTAAAAAGGCTGGCATAGCTTGTCTTCTTCAGTAGCTCCATAACACCCCTGGGACATTGCTTGACTCCTTTACTCCACAAATCCTTTTACCAGTCATCCACTGCTGCATAACAAATTACTGCAAACTAAGCAGCTTTAAGCAACACACATTGTCTCCCAGTTTCTGGGCATTAAGGATCTGAGCATGGTCTTCCTGGGTCCCTGCTCAGGGTCACAGGCAAAAGTCAAGGTGACAGGCAGCCTGTTCTGTGATCTAGAGGTTTGACGGGGGTAGAATCTGCTTCTACGTTCCCTCAGGTTGTTAGAAGCTATTTCCTTGTGGTCATAAGACTGAGAGCATCACACTGCTCACCACCTGCCAGCCAGAGGCTGCTGTCCATTGCTAAGGGCCACTGTGGTTCCTTGGCACAAGCCCTCTGTCAGCAGTCCCAATGCGTAGCTGGCTTCTTCAAGGCCAGCAGGAGAGCAAGATGAGCCATCTAGGAAGACAGAGCCGTAACATAGTCTGGTAATTAACACCCGAGGCACAGTCTCTCAGTTAATGTCAAGTCACAGAACCCACCCACACTCAAGGGGAACAGAGTATGCAAAGTCATAAACACCATAGGAGGGAGTCACGGGGACCACCTTAAGAGTCTGTCTGCCACGTCTCTTTTGTGTCTAACTCATTCCAGCCTAGACGATCACGAATTCCAAATTAATGGATGACTCCTAGCACTGAGGATTTAGCCTGCCTGATTTATTTGGGCCAGAGCTTGAGCCTTCCCAGACTTCCCCCAAATCACCAAAAGTCCTGATTTACAACAACATAGGTGCCGGAGGGTTGGGGGGGGGGGGCATGGCTCTGCGGAAGATAAGGGTGTTCCGTGTTTCCCTAAAGGAAACATGGCCCTGGGCAGGTTAGAGCTAGCTCTTAACCAAGAAGCAACTTTAGCAACCAAATAATACCTAGCTGCTGCTCCCAGAAGCAGCTTCCAAACCCCAACCCAGCTATTTTCTCTGCTACAGCCAAAAAGTGGGGAGCCCTGAGCAACAAGACGCAGGGATAGTGATGGACAGCCTTCCATATTAATGACCATTAAGTGTCAGAAATTATTTCACCTTGATGGCAGTCTGTTGCTTACCAGTTTATTGCACTTGACCTGATAACTATGAAATGCCCCTCTCATGACAAATGCCTTAGCACCGTGCAAATGAAATAAAGGGCTTAGAAGAAAGAACTCCAGCTCACATTCTTTAAATACCCCTGCCTTCCAGCAGCAATCCTGTTAGAGCCCTGCTAAAAGGTGATCCTTCTGAAAACTTAATCGCTAGGGCAAGAGCTTTTCTTCTCCCCTTACAATAAATTGTGAATTAAAAAAAGAAAACATGCTGAGCTTTAATTTTAAACAGAGTCACCCTGGGGGTGGTGGAAACACAGCCGGCTTTGACTTTCTGTTTGGCTTCTGGCTGGGAGGACTTGAGGGCTGTCAAAAGTGGGTGTTATTGCTGTCGACCTGGCAAAATCGCATTCTTCTTTCTGTGGAGAAGAGGGGAAAGCTAAAGAGCTCAGGGAATGGCGGGTAGGTTCCCAGAGACAAACACAGACCTACTGGGGCCCCAGGTCTCAGCTCAACCTCACCAGGGCAGTGGTGGGGAAATCCCACAATTTTCATCAAGGGAAGGGCGCCAGGAGGAATGGCCAGCAGGAGCACATGCATGGAACGCTGTGCAGCTCCTGGGGCAAATCTGGGCTCCATCTCCATGTCTTACCCTTGGAATGCCTTTGGGCAAGACATTCACCTTCACTTGCCTCATCTGTAAAGTGGGAAGAAGAATGTCTGTTCTGTTCACCAAACAGCCTTGATCCTGACCATCAGGGTTAAATGCTTGGTAACCTATGGTGTACTTTGCAATAAGAGATGATATTACATATTTCTACTATCAAATTAGGGTTTTTCCCTCTTTCCCCCTGTTTTACCTTGTTTCTTCTGTTCTCTCTGTGGATTTCTTTTTTCAAGTCCTAAGTGTAGCTTTTATAAAATTTGGGAAGCAAGATCCCACAACCCTGGAATACTGCTCAGAGAACATCCCTTGTGTGTCTTCTCAAACCAACCTCCCCTTTCTTCCCACTTGACCTTTCTATGATCAGGATTCGGCAGCTGCTATGGGGACATGGGGCTTGGAAAGGAGGGCAAGTGGTCTTAAGCAAGGATAGAGCAATCCCACATGGAATGCTGCCTTGGATTATCCCCAGCCCCCATCCATTGCTCTCACAATCTACCCCCAGAAGAGACCCCCATTCGTATGAGACCAGAGAAATGATGACCTTAATGTGTGATAATAGGCCATGTTAGCTCATTAGTGCTGCCAAAACAACATACCTGGACTGAGTGACTTAAACAAGGGAAATCTATTTACTCACAGTTCTGGAGGCTGGAGTCCAAGATCAAGGTGTTGGCAGGGTGGTTTCTTCTGAGGCCTCTCTCCTTGGCTTCTAGATGCCACCATCTCCGTAACCTCACATGATTTTCCCTGTGTGTGTGTCTGTGTTTTAATCTCCTCTTCTTATAAAGACACCAGTCACATTGGATTAGGGCCCACCCATATGACCTCATTTTGCTTTAATTACTCTTTAAAGCCCGTATCTCCAATTATAGTCGTATGCTGAGGCACTGAGTATTAAGGTTTCTGCATATGAATTTGGGGAGAGACATAATTCAGCCCATAACAAAGATACACATGAAGGCGATAGCTCCATAATAGAGACAGTACTGGGTCAGGGGTAAGGGGTACAGGAATGCTTCAGTTTCCTCATCTTTAAAAAAGCTCTTAGAAGGAGTAAATTAGGTCACTATATGCATGTTTGGTATATGGTAGTTGAGTGGGAATTAGAACTCCGGAGAATCTCCCAACTTCTCCTGTTGACAAACTGGTTTTTCTTGTCACTCTCTTACTACCATTATGACCCCAGGGAAGGGAGCCAGACATGTTTAGTAACCAAATAACATAATACTTCAGTGGTGCTCTTTGAAGATTATGACATCTGTAATTGAGATCTTTATCTCTGCAGCAAATGAACTGAGGGCCAGAACTTCTCACCAACAAAAAGTGAGGGAACCTAGTGGGTGGGCCACAGGAGACTGGGGCTGATGAGAGAAGGGGGAAGGCAGGGCTAAGACAGGAAACTGGTGGGATGAGACGCATCCCAAGAGAGGTGGAGGCTGCTTGCAGGGCTGCATGAGTTCCAGGCAGCCCTAGAGTCTTCTGGGGAGGACACAAACCTTCACTGAAGGGACCAAAGCCAGACAAAGCAAAAGGGAGGCAGAGCCATGGGGACTCCCAGGGCAGGACCAGAGGGTCCAGGAGGGCAAGGGACCAGGGAGAGGGGTCCTTTAGAGCCAGAGAGGGAAGTTCTTCCTTTATTCAAAAGGGTGGGCCCTCCACTCAAAGGGTCCCTGCGGGCTGGGATGGTGCAGTGGGATCTGCTGTAGGAGGTAGGAGCAGATACAGGGAGTAAGTGAGAGTCACACCTCAGAGCCTCACCCGATTTTATCTCAAGGTGCTCATTGGGTACAGGAGAGTCGAGTGCCTAAGGTCCAAGGCTGACTTCCTCATAACTGTGCCAAGGAGGTTGCTCTGTGTGGACAAGGAGTAAGAATCAGAAAGTGATCTCTGCAAACAGCCATTTATATGCTTTGGATTCTTTGCTTTGTTTTCACTTTCCTCCATTTTCTAATAAGAAAAGTTTCTTTAAGAGCACATTTTTATCTCAACTAAAGAGAAAAGGAAATTTCCTTCATTTTTATTAAGGGCTGGCTAAGGTTACTATGGAGAGGGTGCCAGTCCCCTACTTTGGTGACTCCAGAGGTGGGGCTTGGTCCCGATCAGCATCTGAGCCAAGATCATCAGCGGAATGAGATGCCAGATTCCAGAAGCAGATGCCAGAGGCTGAGAGTTTCTGGGGCAATAAAAGGCCCACCTGCTGCCCAGAAGACTTCACTTTGCCATGCTGTTTTCCATAAGACCAGACTGAGAAGCATTCCTGAAAAGAAGCCAAAGAGCAGATGCTCCCAGAGGGACAGTCCATCTGTCAGCCATTCACAGATTCGTGTCCCCTGGTGGTGACCAGGGATGAACGGGAGGTTGTGCAGAAAGAGGAAGAAAGAAGTAATGCTGGAGCACACTTGGACCAGAAGCCCATGAGGGTTTCTGATGGCTGAAGAACATTAGGAGAAGCCCCAGTTTCCTGGAAATTGGGGACAGGCATGTGATAAGAGATAGAGAATGGTACAAAGAAGAAAGGACAAAGGAGAAGAAGACTCACTTGGCCCTACCAAGAAAGGGCCCAATGTCCAGTGAGACACAATGTCATTCTTAATTAATTTGGGAAATGGCTCACCTAGACAATGGTCTTTAAAAAATGATTCCCAGACATGGGGCTCCTGGGTTGCTCAGTGGTTGAGCATTGGGCTCCCAGGAAGGAGTCTGCTTCCCCCTCTGCCTATGTCTCTGCCTCTCTTGCATGTCTCTTGTGAATAAATAAATAAAATCTAAAAAAAAAAAAAGAGTCCCAGACAAATATGGTTTCAGGACCCCAGGATGGCTAGGACCCAGGCACCCCGAAAAGCACCTCAGAAGTCTTCCTAAGGAGCCTACTGTTGGGTTACCAGATAAAATATAGGATGCCCAGTTAAATTTGGATTTCAGATACACAGGAATGATTTTTTTGTATTAGTATGCCCCATGCAATATTTGGGACATGCTTATGCTATAAAAATTATTCCTTCTATATCTGACATTAAATTTTAACTGGGCATCCTCTGTGTTTACTTGCTAAATCTGATGGCCCTAGCCTGCAGGGCTACCAGCAGTTGTCAGTTTTTAAGTTAAGGAATGGATGTGGTTTGGACAGGCTGTTCCTGCGGGCTGTCAGATAACGTGACATCACAGATGGCTGGCCGGGCTGATTCAAGGGTTTGCTCAGCCCTCCCTAAGTCTAAGAGTGTTCTTGGCTGTCATGTATAGACAACGGATTCAACTGGTTTAACCAGGAGAACATTTATTGTCCCCCATAACTGGGAATCCAGAGACAAGCCATGTTCCAGATGCAGTATGATCAGTGGCATGTGTCGTCATGGATTTTCCACTTGACCACTTTGCCAGCCTCCGTGTTGATTATATCCATGGCTGAGAGCAAGACGGCAGCAACAACACCAGCATCAGCATCACTCCTGAACATGGCCTTGTTATTCTCAGTTATAGTGGAAGAACAGGACAAAGGCAAAGAGCTATTCAGTGTCCCATGACATCTATGTCTTTGGATTTATGGCCAGTGAGGAATATGAAAAGAAGAACAGATTGAATGAACATTTCAGTTGGAAGAAGTTTCCTGACATATGTATTAATATACAAACACTAACAGTGAAAGTGATTGCAGCTACATTTAAAAAATTGAAATTGACTAATGAATACGGTAAGGAGTAGGGTATTGATGGGACTATCTGAACCACATTCTTACTCTGTTTTCCAAAATGTACTATGACTCTCAAAGAATGGACTAAAACATTTGGTTTGCTTTATCCTACCTTTGGGAAATTACCTGTTGCTGACAAATGCACCAAGTACAAGACTCAGGAGCAGTGTTCTCTGTGGTTTACAAACAATGATTTATGGAAATGCTTCCCTGCTGGGTCATCTCAGCAAATGAACTTGACCCTCATTCTCTCTTTTATCTGGTATCTTCCATAATTCACTTCCATAAAGTAGAGGACTATTTATCCAGGAACTTAAACAACGTGAACAGTGTAGATGCTTTTCAAATGTCATTTAAAAGCAACTCTTTGAGAAATATTGCCAAAGGGTCCATACTTTAACACACTGAGAGAACATCAAGAAAATACATATTGGCACTTGTAGCCTCAGCCTTTTCTGACTTCTCTAAAAATAAAAACATAGGGAAGACCTTGTCAAAGTTTTGAAATATCAAATCCAAATTAAATTTATCAGATTTGGTTTCTAATTTTTTATGAGATATGAGGGCAGAGTTAACATAGATGATGGGAATCTGAAAGAAAACCCTCCTGGTATTTTATTTTATTTTCTACTAAGTAGATATCCTTCAAAGAGCTCATTTAGACTAGAGTATATATTACAAAAGTAAAATTCCTGTGTTTATAAGTACCATCGGGTATCTTTGGCCCATCAAATCAATCAGAATCCAATATTTATCAATATATTTATCAAATCTCTTCCAAAAATGCTTAAAAATACATTTAACATCAATGTACTTTTGAGGGCACTTCTGAGCTGAAATTGGTACCATCAGGAAGGAGTATAGGGGGGAGTCAGAGGGTTGGTTTAACTAAGTAGACCTGGGTTCTGGTCTTTTTTTTGGTCCACACTGTCACTGTGACCTTGGGCAGGACGAAACTCCCTGAGCCACATGTCCCTTGTATCAGGAAGGATGGCTTTCAGTTGTGTGTCACTAAAAATCCGACCACTGTGGCTTATTGATAAAGGGTTGAACTTTCTCAGAAATGTTATCCTCAGGGCTGATGCAGCAACCCCATGATGGCGTCTCAACTTGTCATCTTTTTCTTCTCCATCTTCTTTAGTTTGTGTCTTCATCATCACCTTTACCATCTTTTGTTGATAAGAGAGCCCTCCCACCTCTAAGCTCACAAAAAAGAAAGAGTAGAAAAACAAGGAAGAAGAAAAGCAGCTTCCTCAGAAACTCTGAGATTACATCTGCACAGCCCATTGATCCAAACTGTGTCACATGGTCTGCAGATTCATTTTCCCTAGATGCAAAGTACCTGGGGAAATGAGCTATTTCACTGGTACCCTGTAGCCGCAAATAAAATGCAAGTTCAATTGATAAGGGAAATATATGTTTGGTTGGCAAACAGCCTCGTCAGCTACATGCCTCAAAAGAAATAAGGCCTCTGCTAGCTCCCATGATACTGTTCATTCATTCTTGCACTCAACAAATATATATTGAATGCCTAGTCTCTCCAGATGGTCTTTTAGGTACTGGGATGCAGTACTACATATCAATGGACATAATTGGCAGAACAATAAATATTGATTGCCTTGGACCACTAGCCCAATAAAGAGGTCCTAGAAAAACTGAGAACTGAGACAAAACAGAGGCTTCTCTCCCTCATTCAGTGGGCCACAAAAGAAGCAACAGTGGGTAACAGCTTATTTCAAGAGTCTAATTGCAGCCTGAATTATAGTCTCCCCTTTCTTCTCCGATATAGTGTTCTAGAATGCCCCAACTTTGTCCTGGTCCACAAGCAAAGGGGATCCTCTTGGAGGAGAGAAGGAAAGATCATGATTCCAGATTTTTTGGTGACCCATGGGGTATTCCTACCTCCTCCTACCTGTTCAGTAGGGGTAACAGCTCATCAGGAGACCATTTTGGGTTGTTTTTACCATAATTTAAATAAAAACTCTGCTGAAAATCCTGGAACCTTCACCTACTGCTTCTGCCAGGGTAAGTTGGTACAAATCTTTTGGAAAGCAGTAGGGAAGTCATATCAAGAGCATTGAAACTTTTATACTCA